CTATTACAAACTCCATCTTCACAATGTCAAGCTATTACAAACTTCATCTTCACAATGTCAAGCTATTACAAACTTCATCTTCACAATGTCAAGCTATTACAAGCTTCATCTTCACAATGTCAAGCTATTACAAACTCCATCTTCACAATATCAAGCTATTGCAGACTTCATCTTCACAATGTCAAGCTATTACAAACTTCATCTTCACAATGTCAAGCTATTGCAGACTTCATCTTCACAATATCAAGCTATTGCAGACTTCATCTTCACAATGTCAAGCTATTGCAGACTTCATCTTCACAATGTCAAGCTATTGCAGACTTCATCTTCACAATGTCAAGCTATTGCAGACTTCATCTTCACAATGTCAAGCTATTACTAACATACCATCTACACAATGTCATGCTATTATAAACTTCATCTTCACAATGTCAAGCTATTGCAGACTTCATCTTCACAATGTCAAGCTATTACAAACTTCATCTTCACAATGTCAAGCTATTGCAGACTTCATCTTCACAATGTCAAGCTATTACAAACTTCATCTTCACAATGTCAAGCTATTGCAGACTTCATCTTCACAATGTCAAGCTATTACAAACTTCATCTTCACAATGTCAAGCTATTGCAGACTTCAACTTCATAATGTCAAGCTATTGCAGACTTCATCTTCACAATGTCAAGCTATTGCAGACTTCATCTTCACAATGTCAAGCTATTGCAGACTTCATCTTCACAATGTCAAGCTATTGCAAACTTCATCTTCACAATGTCAAGTTATTACTAACATACCATCTACACAATGTCATGCTATTATAAACTTCATCTTCACAATGTCAAGCTATTGCAAACTTCATCTTCACAATGTCAAGTTATTACTAACATACCATCTTCACAATGTCAAGCTATTGCAGACTTCATCTTCACAATGTCAAGCTATTGCAGACTTCATCTTCACAATGTCAAGCTATTACAAACTTCATCTTCACAATGTCAAGCTTTTGCAGACTTCATCTTCACAATGTCAAGCTATTACAAACTACATCTTCACAATGTCAAGCTATTGCAGACTTCATACTTATTATTTAAATTGAATTGCAAGTAAAACTGACATATTTGTAATAAAAGTTAAAAACTCTACAGCCTCCTTCTACTAAAAAGACTTAAAGCTTACCATCTGAATTTTCTTTACTATTTTCATTAAAATAACGAATTTGTATCTGTAATTTACCAGAGGGTCGTAAATCCAACTGAAACATAGAAAAATTTGTTATATCAATAATTACCATAAAAAACAGAATGTAAACATCGTTAACAAAGTAGTTATCACTTCAATATTGTTAACAAAGTGGTTATCACTTCAATATTATTAACAAAGTGGTTATCACTTCAATATTGTTAACAAAGTTGTCATCACTTCAATATTGTTAACAAGTGGTAAATAAAAAAAAAAAATTTACTTTACAAAATTAGACCAAACCTTCCTTCCATTTATATTTTTAGCTTTTATTTTTAATATAACCAAAAGGTCAAAAGGTTAATTTGAGAAATGTTCAAGAGGGCTGTTGTTAGACCCTAACTGGAATGGCTGTCGTAAGAATAAAATTCCTAAAAAGATCTAACAATTACTTAGCAAGTCAGCACAAAAATCCATATTCCTATTTTAGATGAACTACTGGAGGTCATGACCCTATAAAAATGGTAAGAGAATTGCTAGCAATGTATTTCTAAGATGGAGGTAATAAACTAAAAGGAGATTGTTGATAGTTAAATTGTTTTGGACAACGGAAACATTTCTATTGATATATCAGACTGTGGAAGAATTTCTCAGAAACATGTCTGCAATCCTTTTTAACCCAGAATACAGGATGTCAATAAATAACCATCATGCTCTCTAAAACTTTTTATTTGTATCAGAAACACAAAGTATCCATTTACACCATTCAAATTTTCAGTCAGACCTCTTTGGTTCTTGCAATTTCAATAAAACTAAGGGTTTTATGACTTCACTATCACAAAAGCTGCCAAAAATATGTAAAGGTTCTTGCATAAATAGACATGCTATAGGCATAATAAGTTTAGAAAACCTCTATAAAATCACTTCAAATATTTTAAACCAAATTTAATTTTAGGGATGAAATTGCCATTGTTTGTAAATATGACTTACCCATACTGTTGTTACATTGCTATCATTACATTTCTCAGCTAGCATTTTAGCACCAATACTGATATCAGCTAAAAACTTTGTTGGTCTCTCCATGACCACAATATTAATAACTCTACCTTCGTAAATATGAGCATCAAAACAGGAATTCCAATTGGGATATAAAGTCCTTTTCTTTTGTATTAATTGTGGTCCACGACCTACAACAAATAAAATACAATACAAATATATCTATATATAATACTGTAGAGGCTTGATTTGATTGATTTGTCAGAAAATATATTTTGTGAGAGCAAAAAATGCTTTACAGGAATACAGTATCTGAATATTGTTTTAAAAAATGATGATCCTAAAATTCATCTATCTATATTACTTTAAATAATTAAAATTCAACAACAGGTTCCTCTACAATCAAATAATAACAAATGTGAATTGCCTAAGAGAATACTAGAAAGTAAAGATTATATATACCTGGAATATCTACTGTCTCTTTAACATTGATCGCTATATAAGGATCAAATGGATCCTGGCAATTCTGCATGGTAGATCCACGCTCCACCTGAAGCAACTTCACTCGAATAAATCCACAGCCTGACGGCATTCTGGCGCTAACTAGATTCTAGACTTCTGTTTATTTCAGTAGATTACAGTACTAAATACCTGAAAGATACAGTATAATTCCTATTTATGAAAATATACTTCAACATGATACCAAACGTCTTGCAGCAGATCAAAGAAATCATTTGGATAGCGAATTCAGAACATATCATATCATAGACGAAAAAATCCAATTACAGATTTAAAGGAAAATTTCATATGTATCATTTAAATTTCAGACTATTTCAGTGATCGCTTCGAAACAGAAATGTAACAAATATGAATTATGTTTAAAACTAATTATTTTTACTGACCGAATTTAATCATCAATTGATTTTTTCTGAAGAAAAATGTAATAAGAGGATTTTTTTTATTGAAAAACCTGAAACTGATTGTTATTATTAACAGAGTACATTTAAGTCAATATTGAAATCTCAAATGATTTCCTATCTTACACTTCTTGATGCCTATACATTAATATTCTGATGCTATAAAATATATTGAAACCACTGGTACTTGTCATGATGAGACAATGTGTTATCATTCTGTTATCATTCTGTTATCATTCTGTTATCATTTGCAAGTTTTTAACAGCTTTAACACTGTTGAATTCATCTATTAAAATATATAGATATTGGAACAACTCTCTAAAAATAAAGACCAGAATGAGAATTCATAAATGAGTTTACATTCAACTTATCATATCCAATAATAACCAGATAAACAAACCAGACATGCTTGACAGTAGAAGGTTCGTACAGAATCAAATGTACAGAGCTGAAATTCCCAGTCTCTAGCTCTAAACAATCCAGTTGAAATGATTAAATCTGTCCATATATAGAAAATTACATTAACAAATTAACACTCATCAGCCCTAATCTACTCATCGAAAAAAACTAAAACTCTTGATTTGTTCCAGAACTGGTTTAAAACATGGCACCAATGACTTCTGCTTTCGAAGTATGGGCACCTAATGATTGGTTATAAAAAGCAATCACAATCAACCTAAAAGATGTCAAGTACTCAGTTAATGTTATAAATCCTAAATAAGTAAAATATCAACAGTTATACTAGTTTACATTCCTAATATATTAATATTGAGAGTTCTTCCTGTTACATTCATATCCATACCCATACAGTTCGGTGGACTGGAATAATGAGAAAAGATGACTTGTTCAAGGTCACAAGACTTTTATAGATTAGAACCCATGGCCAGCATTTGTTCATTATAACTAAGCAAATGAGTTCAGTTTCCAGTGTTTTTATCGACTGTGCAACACAATTCATCACAAAATAATATGAAAGAAGTTGCTAATAAAAAAATCATAAAAATCGAAAAGTAACTAATTTTATGTTATCCATTACTCCTGTAAAACTGTAAAACAGGCTACAACAACATACATATGATAAAATCTTCTCAACGAGTAACAAAAATTACATTTAAGACATAAATTTTACCTCATACACGTAAATAATAATCCTTTCAGAATATCATAAATGATTTTTCCTTGTTAACTTCAGATTCATTACTTAGACTTGATACCAAAATCCACACCACAATTTGCACCAACATGTACTAAGGCTAGTCATACCTTGCTAATATAAACATCACAGTACACTAACTTTCTCACATTGGTTGCCTAGTAACTAAATAAATTCCAGTCCTCTACATTTAGACTCAAGTTACCTGTTACCTTCAGACAAGGTGTGTAATTTTCATTCATTTCTTAAGAAAACTGACTGTACATTGTCTGTGTATACAACTCACTATGACAGTCTGTGGTTAATAAATAGAAAGAGACTGTATAACAGTAGTCTAATATATCCTACTCAATTTAACTTAATCAATACTTCCTGATTCCTATAAATAATAGAAATTATCTAAAATAATGCACAGATCGGTACGTGCAAATACAAAACTAGATTGAAAGGAATTATAAGACTTAAACCACAGCTCTACTTACCATGGGCTCAAATTCTACCACAGTTCAACTTAAACCTCAAGCTTATCTCAAGCCACATCTTAATATAAAACATAGATCAATTAAACCACAGCTCAACTTGAAGCTCAACTTACCACACAAACCAACTCCAACAACACTTGACTTAACCACTGCCCTGCTCAATTCAACTTGAACCACAATTCAAAAGATTGTCACAAGATTATCATTTTATCAAGTAGGAACAAGATAACACAATGTTAACAACTGACTTTTCTTATCTTGGGAGGTACATGTAAGAACAGATTTCTAGTAGAAATGGACAAGAATTTGATGAATCTGTTTCTATGATTAGTAGGTGTATATCAGATCATACTACCAGTAACATGTTTATGTTATATTTAGTACAGGTTATCAGATACTAGTACCTCACATCTGGTAAAAGTAAGATATAATGCTGTATTTTGAAAAGCCAAATTGAGATGTCATGTCTATGTGTGATAAAATACATTATTTCGGTGCACACTGACAGTGCTTGACTGTAGAGAGTCAGACTAGGATTAGTTTGATGTCACAGCCACTTTCACAACAGGCTGCTAAAACACATTCTATTTAAATCTGGACCAGTTACATTACAGTGAAATCAAGTGGTCTTAGAATGATTCAGACACCCTTCGCTGTCTTTTTATTTGTGGAACTTTTCTTGAAGAAATTAAAATTAGTCCCTGTAGTCATCCAGATGTAAACAACAATGGCACTGAATACTAACAGATAATGACAAAAATCCACAGGAAAAGGTCAAGGTCAATTATAAGGGACGCACCGTTCTGAGAACCATTTCGAGGCAAACTTTAGGGACAGTTTTCAGAATGTGTGTTTACAATACACCCAATTCATTCATTCCATTCTAAAAACAGATTAATTTTATAAAATATCTAGTTTCAAATACCTCTCACAATCATTCTTGCTTTCAAATAAAAGCCTGCTAAAATATGACTGTAGTGTGATGATATTAACTTATCTAAATGGTTATAAACATGTATAATAGATCATATCAAAGTTAACTATCACCTCAATATCCTGTTTGTATTATATGATTTAATCATTTCACTGAAACAGGTCATCAATATTATAATAAATAATATACAACTATATCACATACATACTAGATAGAGTGCATTGTGACATACACTGATCCAAAACTTGCTTCACTGTTTGTTATCATCTCAAACTATGTTGATAAAGCTTTTATTATCTCTTAAATTTAAGATAGTTTTTTTTTAATTTTACCCACCTTAAACTACACAATATCCAGCAGTGATTTGGGTCTGGAAGCCATCTTTCATTTCATTTCATTTCATAATATACAGTCAAGTAGCCTAATTTTGTGTTAACCTATTATTCATACCAAAATGATTAATAATTTACATGCCCGACCTTGTGTGACCTCTGCATTTGGATGTTTTGATAAACATGGGTTATCTCTACAACATCAACCTGTATAATTTTTCTTGTCGTTTCTAAGGCCACATCAAATTCATAATTTATTTGTAACATATACAAAATGGCGGATTTCAGTTATTACCAAACATCACAATTTTTTAACAACTGAATTTCCTTATAATCCCAAGCTGTAATCGGAAGTGTCATCTGCTAGAATGTAGTCCAACGAATCAAGTCACGTGACAAACAGCAGAAAAATTCTATGGAACACAATGTGGGCACAATGTTGCTTAATTTGACACTAAAAAATAAGAAAACCCATCTTTAAACTTTAAGAAAGTTATCAATCTTATTTTATTTAAACTGTTTGTTTTATGACATTCATCTGCATATTTTCAGTTTTGATAACATCTTGTACTTCTATAATAAACTTGTTGAAATATCTCTATCTTCTATTTTCAGATACAAATTATCTAACAACATCTATCAAGCCTAATTTAACTCAGAAAAACTGATTTCATTTGAAAATAAGTTACACTCAACTACATCTTTCATTTTCCTTGACAGAAAATAAGCCATTTTATATTATCTTCACTTAATTATGTTTCAGACAGATTTGATAAATCCTGCAAACTTTTAATACGATTCTTCAATGCTAAATAACATCTGAAAACTGAAACATTTCTTTCAAGTGAAAGTCTTCTGCCAAAATATTTTGGAATTGATAGTACGCCTGGCTTCACTTCTATCATGAAATTTGTAATAACATGAAAAAGGTGTGTATATAACAAACACATGGTAATCATCAGTTCAATATTCACTTAAAACAGGTCTGTCAAATTACTATACATTAAAACTATGAACATCAGAAATAGAACCAATGCACTTTAAACGCAAATTTTATATTCTTTTTTTCTGCTCCTGTTTGAGTTAATGTGGACAAGCAAACACTATGTCTATGTAGGGTTCTATAGCACAGTCGGTTAGAGTGTTGGTTCTTTATAGGACGTCATTTGCTTGGTTACGTCCAGCGAATAGTGGATGTGGGTTTCGATCTCGATCGGTGTGTGACAGTCCAATGACCTTGAATAAGTCATCTTCACTCATAATTCCAATCGACTTAGCTGTAAATGGCTACTGATAATCCAGGAAAGGTCAATACCAAGAAGGTTTGTCCAAGGACCAGCTGGTAGAAAGGATCCTTAACTGTGAAACTTTGTATGCAATGAAGGACATTTTCCAGGACATTGGCATTAGCCTTTTACTCTACAGTTACCAATTTTCTAGGAACCTTTAACACACACAGCCTGCCTATCTGATCCTTTTCCATGTCAGCCCCTTTGACCTGCATCACTGACATGAGAAAATCTGAAGGTATTATCTCAACCTATGCTGCTAGCAAGCAGACATCTTACTCCCTGAGCCATCGCTGCTCCCAATCACAAATTGATGGCTAACTTGTGGTAACGAGGCTAAAACAAAATACACTTTTATTCCTTTAATAATTGATTTAAAAATGTAAAAAAATGTTTTTCTAGTCTGTAGCCTGAAGAATTTTCCAACCAATCATATCAGTAATAGAGCAGTCATAACTGACAGTGTCTGTTAGTTTATTAAACTC